TCCTGCTTAGTTCCCTCGCGCGCTGCTTAATGGAGCCAGAATATGACGTCACTCCAGCTTCCGGCATCACTAAGCGGCACGCAAGCTCCCTCAGCAGGAAAATCAGAGCTCCCTCGCCGCCTACTCAGTCTGTCCGCCCCCTGCCTGCCCGTGCAGCAGCCCCACTGGACCACAGGTAAGTAATCCACCCCAGCTCTCCCAGGGAGGCTGGGTTAATTTAAATTAAAATTTTAAAAAATAATAATTTGTGAGTGTTGGTGGAAATGTGTGTGTGTCTGTGAGTGAATGTGTCTAAGTGTGTGTGTGTCTAAGTGTGTGTGCGTCTGTGAGTGAATGTGTGTGTATGTGTGTGTCTGTAAGTGTGTGTGTGTATCTAAGTGAATGTTTGTTTGTGAGTGAATGTGTGTGTGTCTGTGAGTGAATGTGTGTGTCGGTCAGTGAATGTGTGAGTCTGTGAGTGTGAGTCAGTGTATGTCCGAGTTAAAGTGTGTGTCTGTCTATCAGTGTGTCAAATCAGTGAGTGTGTGTGTATGTCATTGTTTGTCAGTGTATATGAGAGTGTGTGTTTGTCAGTGAGTGTGCGTCTTTCAGTGAGTGAGCGACTGTCAGTCAAAGTGCGGCCTTGACAGTAAGGGGGGGGGGGGTGTTGCCCAAGCACCGTCCTGCCTAGGGCAGCACAAATCCTAAATACACCACTCGCTATGATCGGTGTTCTAAAATAGCTAGAGATACTACAGGAAAGGAAAACCATTATCTTCATCAATGGGGTGTCCACTAACATAAGGCTGCGACAGGGAACTTCATTTGTAAGGGTTGATAGACCATGATGGGACTTAGAGTCCATTACAGCTCTGCGCATAATCTCCCACGACTCTTGAGCAATAGCAATGGCTACTGTATTCATCAGCCCAAATACATAAAACAGAAGCCAAAACGGGTTACCTGCGCGCTGTCCCAAATCATTATATATATTTAAATAACTGATATAGGCAGCACAGTGTCACGTTAACTTCATATGAATGCAGGGCATATAACTGAGAATTAAATGATTGCATATTTTTAAACTATAATTAGATGAAATCACTTATATATATCAAAAGATGTCACAATAAACTAAATTACAATTAATAAATAACAATTAAGGAAAGACAAGTAGTATATTCAGTAAAGTGTATTTTACATTCAGGATTTATATTACCTAATCCATTTACAATGTGTAGACTATAAACATATATTTGCATTTGAGCAGGAGTCCCCAGGCAAAGTATGTTAAGACAGAGCTGGGCAAATGGTTGAGACCCAACTGCCATGATTTGCCAGCCTTTAGAGTGGCAAAGCATCGCTGAAGTTGTCAACATTTGGGCATTTTCAGGTTTGCCCACCACTGTCTTAAGGTATTAAACCAATTTCAAACTAAGTAGCATCTAATATGCTCCTCTATAGCGGGTTGTGGGTGATCTCCGTCTCTGCTCGCCCCTTTACTGAGCAGAGAATAGAATCATTGAGAAGCATCACTAGTAACAGCTATAATCACAACTTGGCTATTTAAACCTAAATTTAGTGATTCTATTTTCAAATCACAAAAATTCACTGTTTATTCTGTTCAAGAGTTTAGGTGGCGATTATATTAATTAGACTTGTGTATGGCTGAAAAATTTGGATTGGCTGAATTATAAAATCCAAATTTTGTATATTGTCTGCAGTACACTGATAAGCATATTTTCGCATCATTGTTTCACAGATTAAGTTAGAAAAATGAACCAAGAGAGTGAAATAATACGTATGTAATATAGAAATATCTCTTACGGCTCCTGCTTTTTTCCTGTGTTGGTCACTTCTCACTCGATTCAGATAACCTGTGGACTGGCCTAATTGAAAACTAACGCACAAGTCTAGTATGAAAACAATTTCACAGGATGCTTAATAGTATTCACCAGTTCAAAAGGAAAGCACAGTTTTCTGCGTTTTGTGTATTTTAGTATAGTTTAGTTTTATAGTATATTTTTAGCTGCGTCCATTGCACGATGGATGAGGGAACAAAAATGCATGCTCCCTCCAATTTATTAGTAGGAAAACTAAAATCCGCAAATCTCCTTCCAAAAGCACAAATTCACTGTCAATGTGGACGTATTCGTTGATCAATAATTGTAATTCCTACAGTTTGAATGGAATGTAGACATTTAGGGACCCTGTGACAATACAGTATGGTTTATAGAAGGGGCCCTCAAAGACTCCAACCACATTACATTACAGTACATTTCTGGGAGTGGTATATCTACTAAATGTCTGGGGTTTTTCTTTCTCTCTTTCTATAAAGTGGTTCTTAATGGGCGTTTGACAATGCCAATAATAATAATTACATGGACAATTAATGAGAACATAAAAGTGGTACCCTGTGTTTGTTTTGTGCACTGCTTAAAGGAGTTTAATATAAACCAAAGGAACTGAACCTAAAGAGTCTCTACACCATAATCATTACAAGGAACGCTAACGGTTATGGTGCTTAGATGGTCCCTCTTGAATGTAAATTAACTACCTGCATGACCTGTGGGTTTTTGGTGACATGAGAGGCTGGTATTATTTAATAGTATATTTTAACCTTAGCTGTGCTGGGAATTGGATCTCTTTTTATTACGTTTTGGTACCCGTTGTGCTCAGACACAAAAAAAAAGTGTCAATTCTATTTAATTAATAATTATTTTGGATTTCTAACTAAAGTCTTTTATCTCTAAAGTAATATAAATTATTAAGTTTCAACCCAGTAAGAAAACGGAGGTTTAATAAACTCTCTACCACCATCTAGTGGTCAATATGGAAACCTGTTTTGAAGTATAAGACCATTCCTTCTAATTTAGCAATACTTTATATAAAATAGTTTCCAATTCATCAAATCTTGAGTTATGATTGCGTGTTATGTATCGCTATTCATGTAATGTATGCTGAGGTTTTATAATTAACAAAAAACTTGAAAATTAGGAGATTGTATATTTAATTCTGTAACTCTTCCATTCGCTCTCATTTTAATTATTATCACCATTTATATAGCGCCAACAGATTCCGTAGCGCATTATTAGAAGAGGGGGGATTTAACTATAAATAGGACAATTACAAGAAAACTTACAGGAATGATAGGTTGAGGAGGACCCTGCTCAAACGTGCTTACAGTCTATAGATTCACCTGATGTTCTTAATTGAAGACTTCATATAACCCCCACTTTTTAATAGACTGTGCATGGCTTATTTAAATAGGATTTCGTTTTAGGTGTACGCAGGGCTCGGTTACAAAGTCCAGCTTGCAATGTATTGTAACTACAAGGCTATAAAATGCAGGGTAGAGTAAGAAGTATAGCATTATTATGTTATGTGTACACTGTGTTTTAGATTACCTGGTTTTGTGCTGTTCTAGGTATGACAAAACTCAGCACCTCCCTACCCCCTTCGAAATTTCTCTTCCTGACAGACACACACCCTCACTGATGCATGCACTCACTGACAAATGCAGTAATTGTCACACACACTGTTTAACCAACACACATTTTCACTTACACATTTACAGTTACACACACACACACACTCACATTCACCGACATATACACTGGCAGACACATGCACACTCACTGACAGAAGCACACCCACCGAAACACACATATACTCACTGACAGATACACACTGACAAACACATGCACACTCACTGACAGATGTACACTCAGTGTCAGACACACTTGGTCACTGATAGACACACACACTCACTGACAGACACGCATACACACACTGACGCATACAGACACTGACAAACACTCTGTGACAGATACACACACACTGATAAACACATACGCACACTCACTAACAAATACATATACACACTCACCGACAGACCGACACATACACACTCAGACAGACACATACACTAACAGGCACACACCCACACACTAACACACTTAAAAACATTTTTACATTTCAATCCACCCAGCCTCCCTACCTTTGGGAGTGCTGGAGTGGATTCTTCCCTGGGGTCCAGTTGGGCTGACAGGCAGACACAGGCGAGCGGTGTATGCGGGCGACGAGGGAGCAGTGCTTTCTTTCCACACTCCCCCCCGCTAAAAGTGCCGCCCAAGGTAAATGCCTTGTCAGCCTTACGCTAGATACAGCGCTGCACCCAACCCTAACTAAATTATTCATATGTTCTAGACCAGGGGTAGACAACCTTAAGCACTCCAAATGGTTTGGACTAAAGGTTTTCCACCCAGCATCATTTTATTGAGAATATATTTAATATGTGAACGTTTCTGTTGAAGTAGTCAGGAAGAAGATCGGGGAAGATATGTGCTTGCATTCAAAGCTGGATTAAGATTGCCAAGGCCCTGGGCTTGTTGCCTGATTGGCTATTTAGGATTCCTGGTGGTCTGGAATAGGGTGAGCTGGTGTGCATGATCACTGGTGGTCTGGTGTGGAAGTATTGCGGTCTGCTGCTCTGTCCATGATTCGAAGTGCTGACTGCAGTGCTCCAGATCATTGAGAATTGCTGAGGGACTACAAGGGAGCTTTTAAAGTGATCTGGACTCAATAGAGGTGCAAAACACAAAGCTCTCCGAGCAGGCGAGGAGGTACAGGACTGGGCAGGGAGAACTACTGATCTACATGTTGGCTCAAGGAAGGTTTCCACACAGCTTCTCAAAGTAGCTCTTTGCAATCTTTGCAAGGCAGGTGTTCCAGGCAATTGAGCTAACCAAACCAGGAAGTTACAGGACTGGACAGCCAGGGAGGATGTAACCAGGTTGATTTTTTAAAAAGGGTCAATTTCTATTTAAATCAGCACTTTTTGTAGACTATTTTGACATTTGTATTCATATTGCTAAATTCTAAAATGTAATGTTTGTTTCAGATTTAAGCATGTGCTACTCAAATAAAACTTGCAAAATCAACAACACAAATCATTGACTTTTATTTTTATTATTAAAATCACAAAAGTACAAAATTAATACATTTTATTTAAATATATACACCCACACACATTTATATTAAACATAATATATATATATACACACACACACACACACACACATACATAATATGTTCAGAAATGCACACAGACAAATGTTTGTATAATTGCCAATTTTGTTGGCATTAGAAATATAATCAGAGTTCTATTTTTAATAAGGGGCTAAACTACAATCCTCTTTTCTTTTTTTTCTTTTTTTTAATCCAAATGAATATGTAAAGTAATTAGTAAAATAACCAGTCTGCAGTAATGGCCGTATTCATGCAACCTTTAATCATCGTTGATTGAAATAAAAAGCAATCAATGGTTGGATGTACACGCATAATATATGAATATATAATATAAAATCCTAGGCAAGATTTGTATAATGTAATAACACATGCTTCAATGTGACATGGTCCGTATCAACAGCGCCAGATCCAGACCCTCTATCCTACTCTGTACAAATTAAAAAACTAATACTGCACGTCTGCACTGTGTATATAAAAATAAAAGGATGTATATTCATTACACATGAGCATTATTATTTCTATATTTGTATTCCTTAACACATTTGTGATTTACCTGAACAATCGGCTTATTAAGGCATTTTCTTTACTCTTTACCATGAAGGGGTTCAGATGCAAGAAAAAGGTATTTTAAAAAAAATTAAGAAAACCAATAAAAGAATTAAGTAGTGGATTTGGAGATGGTCGTATCACGTATGTAATGAATAGATTGTTCAATTTTTATGGTGCCGATCAAGTGCATTGGCTGCACAACTGTTTTTTAGGAAGCCTCCTTGAACATTTGTGGCCTATCTGCTAGAACAGTAATAAGTCTTTGGTTCTCAGTGTCTATCCTGCTCCTTCCTGTGGGATCGACATCACATCCATCCTTCCACTTATGGAACAGACTCTGCTCACATTCTGAATCCCATTAAATCCCAGGCAGGAGCAGTGCTAGACAGTCTCTGATCCTGAACATATATCATACACAGAAGAAGAAGGTAATGTATTGGGAGATGTCTCCTGAAACACAGAGACACAGTAAATACACTTGACCAGCAATATGATAACCGGTTAGACTTGGATTTGGGGTAATTGTGGTGAGAGAGAGAAATGCAGAGATGAACAAAAGGTGAAAGGAGATATGATAAAATGGGGGTGGGGGGGAGAAGATGAAATAGTGAGTGGGGAAAGAGAAAGAAAGAAGATAAAATGACGTGGGAGGGAGAGATAAGACAGATGAGAAGGGTAAAGCGAGAAAGGAGGAGTAATAATTCTGTGCCATAGAATGAGCAAAGCAAGACTTGAAATGAGTGGGGGGAGTAGAGTGAACCAGAGCCTCGACATGACAAAGTAGAAATGCCCAGCAACAATGATAATGTATGAGAGCTGTATGTAACATGTTTTTCGATCCAGCACAATACAAAACCTGTACGTTCCTCTCCCATGTTTGTGCGCTGGATCCTTCCCTGATATGTAGGTTGTTCTGTGTAATGTATGTATATGTGCATGTAATTATATGCACAGTGAAGAAGTATATATCTTTTAGTTTTGTATTGTTTGTTACAATTGTTTGTGCTTTGTCAGCAAACTCTGCATCTTTTTACTGCAGCCATCGTAATAAACAAGGGCAGCGCATACAATAAAGCTCAGCTATTCAAATTACAAAAATGATTGTCAATTAAAATAAGTAATGCAGACAGAATGCAGACTTGCTGAATCACTTAGAATTTTACCATTAAAATGCTTGTAGTTGCAACCGATTTCTATAATAGCTTTTAAACTGATATATTTATGTAACTCATCAGTTGCTCTGCGGTTTTAATGGACGCAGTTGCTTTCTGCGTAACCCATTCATCGCCAGAGGGGTTCCTGTAATGCCGATTGCATTGCAAATCTGTTAATAGTAATCGTTTGTGAAAGTCTTGTCTTGCTATTGGCATGTAAGATTTCCTGGTGAAACTGATGGCCGGTCAGTTGTAATCAGTTTGGATCTTCATTTTAAGATTGTCCATAGGTGCCATTGTTATTAATTGTAGAGTGTAAATGCTCTCTATATCTATAACTGAGTAATGCTCGAATATGGCATACGGAGGCCCCATTGTGTTATGATTCCTGTTATGTTGCAGTGCTGGGTGTTTGAAAGTAGTTGTGTAGTGGTGGCTTCGGAGGTGTGGTTATGGTACCATTTAATTCTTAAACCCATTCAGCACAATATCTTGAGCTAACCTAGATTGAAATGTATGGCATAGAACAATGGCTTGTTCTGTTTATGAACTATATGGGTAAAAATTTAAACAGAGTGCCACTTTAGCAACATAAAGATGAGGTGTTTGAATCAGAATTCTGGCCCTTCCAAACCCAGAAACTGCAGGTAGACTCCAGACAGCTCTGAAAAGCTCAGAAATGGTACCTTTGCTTTGCTTTGATCCACAACCCTTGACAGAGTTTGACAAAATGAACAGGATTTTATAGGTTCTTCACACGTCATAGCTCAATTAACTTCTTGTAACAGAATTGTAAATAATTTTTTTCTATGTTAGAGACTTTTCAGGGTTATTCAGTAAAGTATGAATTGTGAATTTCAGCCTAACGTGTTTTTTTTTTTAAATTCAGAATTTACTTTTAATTACCCACAAATCACACTTTATTGAAAACCAAGAACTGGAGATCCCATCCACTCCTGCTAAAATGTATCATCAGAATACAAACTGCGGGAGTTAAATTTGACCTATCTCTATCTTGAGATAAAAACCTGTTTACCAGACAGGAAATTGCTCTAGTGCCATATGTGCTACCATGCCAGGCTTAGTCTAACTGCCTTGTATTAATTATATCGCGTGTGAATCGCGCTGCTAAAAGATATTGGCACTTGAAAATTACAGCCAATTCATAAGCTTTAGCCGTTTTAAATTGCCTTACTGCGGAACAGACAAAGATATAAAATAAGGATATATGGCTTGACACTCCACTTTCCGACTTTTCATCTCCTATTACTTTTACCACCTCGCGGTGACATGAAGCACCTCTCTGCCTGATGACAAGACTTTATATTATTTATTAATTACTCAACCGACCAAGCATTTTTTCATCAATAAAACATAAAATAAAGCGGTCTGCCCAGGGTTTAAAGGTCTCATTTAAAGAGTCACATTTACAATCACATAAATAGATCACACCTTTTTTTTTTGTTGCCGTCTGAGCTCTTTTTTTTTTATTTCCTGCAAGAGCACAGTTATTATTATTTTTTTTTACAGAGTGAGGTTAAACTGAAATATAGAAAGCTTCGGATTCTCTGTAATAATTGTACATAAGTGTATAACCCATTTAGGTCAAACACTTCTGAAATGTCAATTCATTTCCTTCCTCGTCTGCGTCCGCGTCTCTCTGACAGACAGAGACCTGTACAAAGAGAGATGAGTTTCAGTCAAGAGTCAGTCACATTAGAAAGAGAGAAGTAATAAAATGCACGGTATTAACTAATAACATTTTTAAATTCATCGCTTCCAGGCTGAATTTATATTCAAGGTCTGGCACAGGCTATGAAATCTAATTTTGTTCTTGTGAATGTGTGATATAATTTTATAAGTGTTATAAAAAAGGTCTTTACTTATGCTGACCATGGCGCTGAGCTATCTTGTCATATCACGGAGATATGCCTTTAGCGGACTGAAATACGAGCGTCTTTTATTATTATTTATTTGCACGGATGGGCTTGTTATGGCTGCAGATGACACTGGACGACAGAACAATTTGTAGGGCTGGAGGGGGGTTATAAATGTGGGTTTAGTGGCTAGAACAGAATTAGGTGGGAGTGGTTTTCTAGTGAAGGGGTGAACCCTAAAATAATTGTGACGTTGTTATAGTGGTAGGTTTCCAGATTTGTTTTGGCTTTCCTGGGTTTGTGCTGTTTCTTCATGCTGATGGATAGTACAGCGGTGTAGTATGTAGCATTCCTGCGTTGCAGAAGAGAATACAGTGAATTGCTTTGCATGATAGTCTGAAAGTGCTTGGTTAACCCATCTCCAGCGCACTCAGCCTGTGATTTTCACCCAACGCTTAACAAGCTAATGTTTTCTACAAGTCAAGGGGCGATGCGGAGCCAGCAGTAGCCACTGAGAGAACCCTGATTTTTGTAAAACTGTCGAGGTGTCTCCCACAGTCTCTGCACCATAACAACTGCAACATGCTGTGGTTTTTTCAGTGCTTAGAGTGGCCCTTTAATAACTGACTTTTATCCTGCAGCATGTGAATTCTGCATACTTCAATGCAGCACATTTTATGAATCCATCCGCATATGGAAGTCATGTGCGAGCAGAAAAACATGGTCGGTCGGTGCTGCCCCAGACATCCCTCCCACAATTTTTTATTTATTTTTAACTACGCTAAAACAATATACTTTCAGTGAATAATATACGTTTTGAAAATGTTATTTCATGTGTAAAAACTTCCACGTTCCCTTGTTATTTAATTAGATTTTCCTTGCCTCACAATCCATGCATTTGGGTGACAATATGACATCGGTGGCTTCAGGACCGTACTTCCTCCTGATCCGTGCGTAGTTTGCTTTCACCTGTATCGTACGTCTGCTGGCTGTAACACAGTAATTATTACACAGTCAGATCAGTGGCCGGTAGTAACGCTAGAACCAAGAAGAACATCATTTAATCATGTTAAAGATTTTATAGATCATTCCGATCTTTTTCATAATATAACCACTCACTTATTATGCCAATTAAATAACTATTACATATAAAAAATATGACCTACTATGAATTAAAATACATTTATTTATATATGAATTATATACAGCCCCTTTTAATAGATATGTGCCCTCTGCAGCAATGCTATATGTACACACTGGACTATTGCCCTCATCCAAAATGGCGCCGCATTACTTCCCCATATATCACTTCCGAGTGATGTATGACTATCTTTCAACTCAGGAACCGAAACTTACATCACCAATTCACCGAAAACCGGAAATAGCTGTATAAACACCGGAACTTGCACATTATAACCCGGGAACATTCAAAAAGCTGTCCTTCAAAAGAGCAGCATCCATTTTGATAAAGCTTTGGCGAAGCGCATAAAGTGAGGACTTGTTAATTTTATTTACCCACAGAACTGTTTTTATAATACATTTTAATAGCAGTTATGTTCAGCCTTTTCTTTTAGAAATAAAGTACTTTTTAAACATACCTATCTGTGAGGTAACCATCCATACAGCTGCTACAACTTATCCGGTTTCTTCATATATCCCTGGGTGGGGATTGTTCCACCTCACGCTCTTCACACCAGAGCAGGACATTGCTGTGGCTTACGTAAGTAGGATTATTTCCTCCAGTTATATCACTGTAGTTTATGTACCATACCATTTGACTTTATTCCTGTGTTTTCTTAATGTCTCCATAATTTTGGAATCAAGCTGAGAATACTCTAAACATATATCCATAGACGGGGATTATTCCGTACAAGACTGCTTAATAGAGCTGGTACAGCTCTAAAAAGTGTGAGTTTACACTTGACTTATTCATATTCGTCTTAACTTATTTACTGTACTGCACCATAATTTGTCTTATTTTTCATATATTTATTTACTAGTAATTGCCCTTATATCGTATGTATATTCTATTTTTTTATCTTGCTACATATTTCACAAGGGTGAGAGAACCCCTTGTTGGTAATTTACTGCCATTGTCTGTCTGATATTGAGCACCTATATACATCCTGTTGTTTTACTTCCGTAAATATTCGCTTAATGAAAATGATATTACATTGTACTACACATACTTCTCACATGCACCACACTAAGAGACAATAAAGGAGGACAATTACCGGCTTTGCTCACAAATTTCTCTCCTGCAGAAACGCACAAAAGCATATCCTTTTCTATGTCACTCCATGACGTCACCTTCTCACCGTTTGATGTAAACAGCGCTGCCGCCGGGTGAGGCTGCATAATCAGTCTGGCAGTGCAATTGTCCAGCAGCTACAATATTGGTTTCACAAGATTAATATTATATATCATGCATTTCCATTATTAAATGACCAGATGAACTGTATTTCATTTACTAAAATCAAATGGAAATATATTTTATTTCTATCATTCCTAAATGTTATCTGTCCTTTGACAGGCAGCATGGATAAGCAATAATTTACCACTCATCAGAGGTTACAACAATTACAATTTGGGGAAATGTCTGAGCAGAAATTGCCATCTGGGTATTTTCACTAAGTATCGATATCAGTAAAAATATTAGCAGGAGAAATCTCTGCATTCGATAGAAAGATTAAAAATGGGTGCCCTTAGGAAATGCCTGGTTTTCAGTTTGCTTTATTTAAAAAAAATATAATAATAATAAAAAAAGCCAAAACTGGCCACGAGTTGGTAAATTACGTAAAGAAATGATGTAATGGAATTTCTGCTTTTCTTTTCTGTCCTAATTTAGGAACTGTTTGGCACTTCATATCTATGCAGTTACTAAGCTAGCCTGCACCACCTGAGGGCTCTGTCCAGGATAAATGGGGACCATCTCGATGGGGCTCCAATTTAAGTTTAATTCAAGGCCCTTGTGCAATTGAGAGCACTGTAAATTTAGCGACTTTCTTGTAAATGTTTGCTGACTGCCAAATTTAGTATTAAAAGATTAACTATTTTGTCCTCAGTGAATCCAGGCACATACAGTGCAGTAATGGTGGGGCACCAAAGACACCATTCACAGGAGTGCTCCACAAACTAAATCCACGCCAACTGTAAGTGCAATTTAGCTATTCCTGACATTGGTAACTGCTGTAAGTCTATCACTGAAAGTGTGTTCCTCATCCCAGCCGGCAGTCATGGCACGTTCACAGGAAGCCATGTAAGCTAGCCAAGGCTGCGCTTGTGCAAAGTGCTGGTGACACTACCCCACATGTGCAGCAAATAAGAATTATTACAAGGCGATTTGGGAAAATACTTCTTGGTGATATTTCAACTAAAATATCCTGGGCCAAAAGTTCAGGAAAAATCTGATTACCAAGTGCAAAGGTCCAAAATCCAAATATACAGATTAAACCAAATTCTGATCTCTGGGGGTCTAGAAATATTTAATGTTAGATTGTTTTATCCATCACAACTCTCTGAACTCCACACGTCAGCCAATTTTTTTCATTTTATTCCATATTTCTGTAATAATTTTTGTTGTACTTTTAGCCTTTGCACCATAGATCTCCTGTAACCAACTAATTTGTAAAAGCACATGTCCACTGCAGTTATTCCAACAATAACATTCCTGGGAGTTGTTATCACAAGTTCTTAGCCCAAAGTAATGTTAATCCGTACACACAGTCTCTAAACTGGCAATGTTAAATCGCGTACAAACACATAGTCTGCTCAAAGATATCAATGCATTTTGAAGGATCCAAGGACAAACTCTTACCTCTTCTAAAGTTTTGCCCCAAGCAAAAACTGCTTGTTCAGGGTTGCCACCATTTAAATAAACCAAGACTCGTTTCGAAGTTGGACAGTTGTAAAGTGCTTTCTGACTGGCTTCTTTCACAGTTCCCGAGATGGCGTGTCTGTGTAGTTGAGCGGCTTGGATTTCTGAGAGGTGCTTCTAAAAGGCAAAACATTAAAAAGGAAAAGAAATCCCAATTACAAATTTAACTGATTACAGATCAATAAAGATTTAGCATGATTTGGTAGTATATATATAAATATATGCCTAGGTGAGGTGTTTTTAAATAAAACTATTACAATATGTAAGATTTGAAATCATTGTTTAGTGACTAAGCGAGTGCGCTGGATTGTGTATTTTTATATATATATATATATATATATATATGTATATATATATATATATATATATATATATATATATATATATATAATAAGGAAAGAGGGTGCACTCACAGGTCTCTTCCGTGTAGAAATAGTGTTTTTTATTTTAAAGTTGCATAATTCACAAAAAATGTAATGATCAACATTCATGGACGTCGATCATCAAACGTTCTGACTCTTTGTGAATTATGCAACTTTAAAACTTCTCCTTACATCTATATTAACACGGGATTGCACCAAGGCGGATAACAATTGGATTAACGAGAAGGATGAGTGCCAAGTAGACACACAGTTACACACACCTTGACACACACACAAACACAGATACACACACCTTGACACATACAAAAAAAGGTTTATGCAACGGCACAAATGTATTTATTTTTTACTCGGGGGAGAGTTGATACACTATATATATAATCCTAATTAAGAATCTGGTACGTAGACTTACAGCTGTACCCAAGCTACAAAGCCTATAGCAAAGCATCATGGTAGCTATACTTCCTCTACAGTAGTGTTGCCCAACATGATGCTCACCAGCTATTTTTGAAACTACAAGTACCATGATGCTTTGTTTTAGAAAAGTAGTACCTTAACGCTCTGGGCAAGTAAACCTTCAACAGTTGCAAATGGTTATGGTGATGTGCGCCAAGCAATGGGGACACTAGAAGGTTTTCCACATCCAATTTCTCGTCTGGGGGTAAGTTACAAGAGCAGGAGAGATGTGTGCCTTCACTGTACAGATCTCCAAGCACACTGCATCCTTATACTTTATAGTTACTGATAACAGAAGGGCAAATATCAGACTGGAAACACAGTTTAAAATAAAGAAACAGGGCTGCCAGTAACTGCACCAAACTACTAATTTTCAATAGACAGCCACATGAGAAACAAATGCTTGTATTATTATCAAAATTCATGAAATACCCTGTACATTACCGTTTCCTAGTTGGTGTTCTGCGGAACCCTGGGGTTCCGCGACAACACAAATAGGGTTCCACCGTGATTTCCCCAAACAAAATGGCTGCCGCAATTTTATCGCAAAATCAGGGGCCCGGTCAGGTGCCAAAGCCGTTTAAGAGCATGACCGGGCCCCTTTAGTATCGGCTGACTGGAAGGAAGTGATAGCACTTCTTCACAGCTACACAGAGTTGCTGCAGTGCTGCCGCGCGATAAGGAGGGAGGAGGCAGGAGACAGCCACCCAGAGAGTGAGCAGCTTAGATGGCAGAGGAGAGGCTGAAGTGAGCACGCAGCGGCTTACTCCCATCAGCCTCAGCCAACATCACCAGGACCACCGTCCTGGACACACAAGGTAAGTTTACAGGAGGGTGGCTCTGATGTATGTCATATTGTGTCTGTGTGTGTATGTGTCAGTGTGTATGTGTCACTGATTGTGCCAGTGTGTGTATCTGTGTGTCAAGGTGTGTATGTGCCAATGTATATCAGTGTGTTTGTATGTGCCTATGTGTGTATGTCAGTGTGTGTATCTGAGTGTGTGTGTGTATTTGTGAGTCAAGATGTGTGTATGTGTCACTGTGTGCTTCTGAGTGTGTGTATGTGTACCTAAGTGTGTGTATCTGTGTGTCAAGGTGTGTGTATCTGTGTGTCAGATACATGCATACACAGATACACACATAAACACAGATACACACACACACACACACACACTGCGTGTCAAGGTGTGTGTATCTGTGTGCCATTATGTGCCAACATCTGTGTGTCAGATTCATACAGACTGACACAAACACAGATATGCACACCTTGATACACAGATACACACCAGCACATACAAACACAGATAAACACACTTTGACACACAGATACACACACCTTGACACAGATACATACACACACACACACAGATACACACTGTGTGTCAAAGTGTGTATCTGAATGCCACTATGTGCCAGTGTGTGTGTATTTGTGTGTCAAATACATACACACACAGATACACACAAACACAGATACACACACCTTGACACATACAAAAAAAGGTTTATGCAACGGCACAAATTTATTTTTTTTACTCGGGGAGAGGCGGGTGTCCACAGTATTGATACACTATGCCAAAGAATTCCACTGTAAAAATTAATTGGGAACCCCTGTAGTAAATCATGGATTTAAAATTATGCTTTGACACCTGCATTCAAAGAAAACATGTGCTTGATTGCCGCTTTAAATTGTCCCTGATTGCACTGATATCCTGTGAATTCTGGGTATTTGGGGTATCCATGAAAATTAACCAGTAGAATTAACCATCTACTGATGAGACAGAAAAACATTACTTTCATGTATTGTAATTTTGGTGAATTAATAAGAAATGCACTGTATCTGACATTAATCAGAAAATATCCAATTATTCTTTCTCTGATGACAATGACGATTACGAACCTCCTCATTTTGTATGGTTTTTATTAATTTGATTTCCTCATCTGTTTCTTCAGTCCAACCCCCCTCCACCAACACAGGCTGCATAGGATTTCTGGTAGGAGTTATACTGGAAGGATTTAGAAATTTTACTCGTCGACCTAAAATAAAAAAGGAAAAACAATTCATACAAAGTAGGAATGACAAGATCATTCGTTCTCGTTTTTGTTGAAGTCATTCGGGAATTTTTGCAACAGACTGAATATCACTACAATGCCACAGTACTATTCAATGCTAATTTTCTCATTAATATAAATGTTAACTTCCACAGTAGAGGAAATTAAATATTAAATAAGTTATGATTTGATTGCTAAACTGCAATAATTTGACTTTGGTGAAATGAAAAAGTCAAAATGTCTGGAAAGACGGATTGTTTCTAAATACACACATTACATGCCAAGAATACATTGCTAAAACAGAGTTGGTGCACAGGGAAACACTGCCACACAGTGGCCACATTGTGGTAATGCATTATTGTGTCCCCACTTGCATTTACATTTTTTTTTTCAATCTCTGCTTATTTTGTACTTGTTATTTATTTATTTATATATAAATTACTGACACATTGTTTAACTGAGGGGAACGATGCATTTTAAAAAATGAAAGATGACAAGTGACAAGTACAGAGAGGCAATAGAGTGACACATCTCAGCTTCGATCAGCAATACACTGGAAGTGTCAGGACATGGTGGGGACTGAGGACAATGATCGATGTGACACTAATAGCAACAGAATGGGCAGTGTTTGTCACAGTTTATATTCATTATCGAAAAATAAATCCAGGAATGTTCTACAACTATGGGGTATGAATAACATTTTGAAGTCATAGTAAAGGAAGGAATTATATTTGGCTGCAATATAGAAATGTGATGTTATATGAATGATATTTATGTTTATAGATTGAACTTTATGTTTCCATAGAAATATCTATTTTATGTTCATCAGAAAGTGGGTGTTTTGGAGTTGGTTCTTATACCAAGAGCATACTTATACTTTTAAAGTCCGGTTGAAAATGGCAAAGGTATGTCATTTTATAATTATGGCTGTACCACAGCTTCATCTAAGAGATCTCAGGGATTTGCCCCAATTTCAGACAGAGTGATTTTTCAGTCTTGGAGTCCTCAATGCAATCCTACCAGTCCAGGATTTAGGGATTGCCCAGTTGTGTCTATGGTGTTTTTAAAAAAAAACCAAAAAAAAAAAAAACACCACCTTGGCACAACTGGGTAATCCATAAATCCTGCACTAATAGGCATGTCTCGAAGACTAGTTTGTAAACCACTAGAATAGGATATATTTTATTATTGTAGTAAAAGGGTAGACTCACAGGTCACGGGTTAACATGCAGAATATTAAAGTGAATGGTCATGTTAACGTGGCCTCTGGGTGAATGGATAAAATCGCAGTTTTTTTTAGTTCTACCCCTAAAAATCTATCCGTTCACCTTAATAATCATACCTTACGTCAGTTGTCCCAGGTGATGCAAAGCCATTCAAGTAGAAACAGTAAAAAGTTACACTGAATTTGTATTGTTCTCAATTCTACATTTCACTTGGACCTCGATTTAATATTTTTGGATACACTTTTCAATTGAATCAAGATTTTGAAAATATTTTTATATTTTTTTTATATATATTGGTTTATTTTTAAATATGATACATTTTTGATATTTTAATATTTAGATTTAAAAAAAAAAGTTTATCCAAAAATATTAAATAATTTGAAATAATATGTGTATTATTAATACACATGGCATGAAAATGTATCACGATTCTGACAGTTACATTAATGCAGAAATAGACCCATAGTTCTTAAGAAATAAATAAAAAACCTCTGGCAGGATAATTAATTAAAGTGTGCATTGCAGGGAATTCAAATTGGTAACCAAAATAGTCAAATTTTAGATTTTTGTTTTCCCAGCACAACTCTGTTCTCAGTTTGCATAGTTTGACTTACAAATTAATCTTGAAATCAATGTAAATTCCCCAAAAGTTCCACCTTAGTGAGTAACACTGTAGGCCCCTGTATCTATTATTTAGTCTCTCGTTAGGCCAGGGGTTCTCAACCCAGTCCTCGGGACCCCCTACCAGTCCAGGATTTGGGGATTACCTGGGTGTGTCTAAGGTGTTTAGGTGTTTTTTTTTCCTTTTTTAAAACACCTTAAACACACCCAGGTAATCCCTAAACCCTGGACTGGTAGGGGGTCCTGAGGACTAACGTTGAGAACCCCTGCATTAGGCAAAGAGTCTGTTTAACAGACCCAACACATATGACTTAGCTTTGAATTCAAAATATCCAAACTGGAAAAATTCTATTCTGTGCTTTCAGTTTGGCTACCGTGGCCTTAAATTTAAAATTCACTTTGAATTTTCCTTTAGTAAATAACCCTGTAAGTCTATAAAAATCTGTCTTCAAACAAACATTCTGCGCTTAGTAATTGGATCAGGCTAGGGAGCAGTTATGTCCCCAGTACATTCTCTGTCTATCCCTCACGTACATTGTGATTGGCTGGAAGGACAATTAGTAACTAATTAAGGACATAATTAATTCTGGGCAAGGTGTGGTTTCCATATGGCATAACAGCAATTAATTACTAGAAATGCTAATTGCTACATTGAATCTTCCTATTGGACTGATCACGTTCACAGACATTGATGAGTGGGGGCCAGAGTATGACCAAAGTTCATTGTTGGGTAACCATGACAACCAAGATGTTTGGAACTACATTTTAATTAAAGATGGCTGATACACAATTGGAAATGTAGTTTACGCACTTCTGGAGTACCAGACTTAGCGATCACATTTGACTCTATACGAACTAATTTAATCTAGCGCTAGGCTCACTATTAAACAAGCTCACAGTGATATTGAAAGTTTCCAATTTCCCCCCAGCAGGATTCGTCCGTCCAATCGCACTCCATTATCAGGACAATCCTTGCAATGGGATTACCTTGTAAGTGCCTCATTTTATGCTTCATCCCATTCAGGTCAGTCCGAATTCTCTCCTTTTGTAGCCAGAGTAATTTGTCGAGCTTTTGTGATCTCTGTAAAGCTTTAATGAGAGAGACATGTGTTTTACCTCGGATAATACAAATCATCTATAGCTGCAGCTCCGAGTCATCATTTTAACCATTTCAGTACCGACCCTCTCTGGTCTATTAGCGGGGATCACATGCCATGAGGTTGTGACATTTCACAACATGCAATAAGGCAGTCAGCCCTTTGAAATAAATGAGACACACACACACAAACACACATACACACACAACTTGCAGAGAGCCCTAGAGGGAAGGATTTCCAAAATAAGTGGGTTAATCTCATAAGACCAGGCTAAAATGGGATACATTGGCTCTGTAGCAGGTACATTATTTATATATAAATAAGATGTTTGGATGTATCTATATATATAGACACCCACTAAAGGTGGAATTAACTGTGACAGGTAATTATTGAGGCAGTTTCTTAAAAACTGCAATAATTACCTTTGTAGGGCTAAAGGACCTGGGACTGTGCACCCAGACAACTTTAATGAGTGTCTGGGTGTCTACAGTGTCCCTTTTACCCCTTAAGGACCAAACTTCTGAAATAAAAGGGAATCATGACATGTCACACATGTCATGTGTCCTTAAGGGGATAAACAAACAAAGCAGGCCCTGTGTACAATACATGATTTGCTGTTTGTCATGAGTGTAAAGATAATTAAAAAAAAAAATAATCTAAATAACCTTTAATGTGTGTACTAATTAATAGGCAATTGAAAACAACATAGCAATGTATGGGTGAAATTATATTTAGTAAGTAATCTGCCAAACACAGTACTGAACCGGCTGAAGGTGATAGGAGTGTGATTGTTGTCAGCAAGCACACTCCCATCAGCAGGGCCGGACTGGGAAAAAAATTAGGCCCGGGCATTTTTCAATTAGAGCGGCCCCCCAAGAAGGGGGCGGGGCCAGAGAGGGTGTGTTTTGTCATCACTAATGACAAGCACGCCCCCTCTCAAAGTGAACATGTTGGTTCAATGTGCAGAGCCCCGCTGAAGAGCTCTGACATTAGAAAAAGGCCCTATATTTGTTCTGCGCAGCGCAAGCAAATGTAATAACAAGCTTGCGCTGTGTTTGCTTTTAAATTGTCTCTGGTGTCTCCACAAGTGGGATACCAGAGGACAAAAGGGACAGGAAAGTGTATGTTGCATATGTTTGGCGCCTGCTTGTGGGATTGCGTGTGTGTAGAGTGTGGTGTGGTATTGTGTAAATAGGTCAATTTAATTTGTGTTTTTGGTGTAATATGTGTGGCTAGGGACTGTTGAGAGTGCGTGTATAGGGGGCATAGTGTTATAGGGGATGTAGCGAGTGTGTGCATATGGGCTGTAGTGTGTGTGTATAGGTGACGTAGTGTGTGTAGGGGTTGTAGAGAGGGTGTGTTTAGAGAATGTTGTATGTGTTTGCTGACAAGGAATGTAGTATGTGTAGGTGGTGCAGTGTGTGTGTGTAGGAGATCTAGTGTGTAAAGGACCCAGAGTGTGTATAGGAGATTGTGTGTGTGTGTGTAGAGGATTAAGAGTGCATATAGGGTAAGGGATCTAGCGTGTATCTGGAACGTAATGTGTGTAGTGGTGCAGTGTGAGGGGTGCTGTAGTGTGTATATATATATATATATATATTTGGACGTATTGTATGTGTGAGGGGCGCAGTGTGTGTGTATGTAAGAGGGGTGCTGTGTGTGAGGGTGTTTTTATCTGCTGTCACATTCTAGGTTTCTAATTTTCTTTGTCTGTTAACTCACTGAGGGTTATTTTATATATTATATATATATATATATAGATATGTATATCTATATATATATATATATATATATAGATGTGTGTGTGTGTGCTGTATATGTGTTGAAGTGTGCTGTGTGTGTGAGCAAGGGTGCCGTCTGTCTGAGGGTGCTGTGTGTGTCTGAGGTTGCTGTGTGTGTCTGGGGTGATGTGTGTGTCTGGGGATGCTGTGTGTGTTTGGGTGCTGTGTGTGTTTGGGTGCTGTGTGTGTCTGTGGGTGCTGTGTGTGTCTGATAGTGCTGTGTCTGAGGGTGCTGTGTCTGAGGGTGCTGTGTGTGTCTGGGGGCGCTGTGTGTGTGGGTGTGCTGTGTGTCTGGGTGCGCTGTGTGTGTCTGGGGGTGCTGTGTGTGTCTGGGTGCTGTGTGTGTCTGGGTGCTGTGTGTGTCTGGGGGTGCCGTGCTGCCATGGAGGGTGCTGCCTTCACTGGTGGTCCTACAGGCTAGAGTTCACTCTTGCGAGATCTGAGCGTTGCTGCTGGTTAGAGCGCCACCGGGTCCTCTCTCCTGCCTCCCTCACTCACTCCCCAGCCAGCATAGCAGTGTAACACTGCCTGTGGGCCGGTGAGGGAGATCTTTGATCTCCCCACCGGCCCATGAAGGCACACAGCAGGGTCGGCGTCGGGTAGCGCTGGACCTGCAGGGGACGGCCGGGGAGATCCTGTGATCTCCCCTGCCGGCCTCGGCCCATGGCCATTGCGGCCCACCTGGCATTTGCCCGGTGTGCCCGATGGCAAGTCCGGGCCTGCCCATCAGTAACAGCACTGTATCCCAGCATGTACTGGCCGCCTGAGAGTAATATGACAGCAATCAAATTCCTATCACTAACAGCAGTGTACATGCTGGGACCTCACTTATCCCAGTATGTACTGGCTGCCTGAAAGTGGTAGGATCGTGATTGCTGTCAGCATGTTCAGTTAATGCCAGATGTATGTAAAAATTGTGTTACTTTTTTAAAATTTTAAATGTACAGAATATCGGCACCAGTTATCAGCGATATCGATATCGGCTCCGGAAAAATTATATTGGTCGATTCCTAAATGACCCCGCCATGTTGTTATTTATCTAATGTTAGGATATGATTTACCATTACGTCAACAAACACAAGTGTCCTAACTGACAGGAGCCATTTTATTTGAAATACATAAACATTTAATTTTTTTCCTCTTTTTACCATTGAAAGATAAGAATGGCTCGCCACAAGACACCCAGACTTCGATAGGATTTCGGAGAGTGAATGCCAGCAGATCTTCATCTATAATATTTAGGTCTTCAGGAGTAACCATGATTGGTTTAGATTTGTCCTGCATTGGCTGTGTATCTGCAAATATATATAAGATTGTATGAAAAAAGCAAGGCTAATTTGGTTTTTAACAGCTGAACAGTTGACTCACATTTTGACCAAGGTTCTGCCTGCACACGGGTGGCATGAACTGTCTGGGCAGAAAATGGTAATGGCAACCGGGATTGTAGAGTAAGTAGTCTCTAACCATGTACCTGGATACACTCTATGGGGCATTGCTACAATGTAAACAGGATTATTCCATACAGTGTCAATAGAAATTCAAGTCAATTTCATATTTTAGGCAAAAACAGACTATTTTGACCTAAAATGTGAAAATGACTTTGAGTTCCCAATAATTCAAACTGTAGCAAATAACCCTGAAAATGTCCTGCTTTCATTTCACTTGATGCCACTGCAATCGTGGGAAAAAGGAATTGATTGATTTGACATTAAAAAATAATAATTATATATATATATATATATATATATATAAATGTTAGACAAAGATAGCCAAGTTGGTAATATAGCTGAACTTGGCTTATTCCAAGTTGGCAGTTCGTTTTTCAGTTCACCAATATTTGCTGTTTAGTTAATAAACATTTTATACTTAAAGGGACACTATAGTCACCACAACAACAACAGCTTGTCTAACAATATAGGGTCAGGAATACACATTTGTATTCCTGACCATATAGTGTTCTTTTAAAACTATAAATTCTAACTCTGAATAGAGGGATTATGGACATTTACTGCAGTTTTCAAACATTTTTGCAAATACATTAAGTAACACTAGAAATAAACGACGTGCAAAGACCTTTCTGGGTATCACTGCTTCTTGGTCCATGTTGTGCTGGATCCTCATTCTGTTTAAAGAACTCGTTCATAGCAGAGACTATGAGTCCTTCCCATGTTAGAATGACAGTGCCGTCAGAAGAATAGAGCCTGGAAGCGTGTCTGGGCAGCTCCAGCTCCTTTGTACACATGGTGAGAAGCTGTATAGATAACAGGTATATAAACAGTTAAACATCTCGGATTAAACAGAACCCGTATCCACATTTGCATATATATATATATAGTGTTTAGATTGTGAATGTTACATTTACCTAAAAGGGTACTTACAGCAAAGTAACAATTTACATAATTACATCCGATCTATCTGCCATGCTTATTCATGTTCCTTATAAATGCAGTGATTTCCAATATTCACTATATGCCCACCCTTCTGCACCCCCATCCCATGTCTAACACCTCAGGGGAAAGCTATCCTCCAGTCCTAAAGAATGACATGACTTGTATGGGGTCCCTCATGATGAATGGTTTAATAAATGTTACTCTTTCATAGAAGGTTCATTGCACAGTTGGTTTCATGACAAACTGCTGTTAACTTGGTGAGCGCCATATTACATAATTCCTGCTTAAATAGTAGCCTAAGGACTGGATGAGAAATTACAGACACTATAGAAGCTACAGATTTCCAGTGAAACTAAATTAATTCACGTGGGTAGCTTTTTTTTAAACATTTTTACATATTTTTAAATTTCTTCTTTCCATAATAGTTTTAAAAAAGTGATGTCAGCTCCAGACAGGAGTGTCAATTTAAAGTACAAATGTTTGCTGTATGGTATGGTGTCTTCTACTGTTTTTAGAAAGACATCTATATGTCCATCAACCAGAGTCCCCCTTTTCCCTTCCATTGTTGGCCTTAATAGTAATTTTCAATGTTCCTCCCCGTCCTCTGTGAATTAACATGTGTCAGTATTATTTCATCTGTACTTACCATTGGAAATGAAGTAGCAATTATCAATCTCCCGTTCTTGAATCCAGAACCATTTCTGTAAGCTTTTATCTTAAGCACTCTCTGATTAACAGCAGTTGATAACTTGTGGGCAATAGTCTGTGTAGATCGCTCGAAAATCATGGTTGAAATCATCTCTTCCAAACAGCTCAGGGTATTTTCTGCTTCTGATGTTGAGAGGTCAGTCTGTGTAGGCATAGCAAGAGTTATAAACATGAACAGTATCCATAACATATTCACTGATTTATGTTGCGTATTCTGGATTTGGCTACATCAGAATTCAGCTTTAAGCCGTGGATAAAATCGATGGCGTCAGGCCACGGGTGCCTCCAGGACTCCAGGTTTTCGTCAAACTGCTCAAAAACATATTTTATCAACATTGTCCACAATTTAATGGTGCTTAGACTGTTCTTTTAATATCAACTAAATAAGCAGAAAAGTACAGTGGTCTAGATTACTTGATTGTACTATTTGTATTGACCTTGAAAGGATGAAATTCTAAGTTGACATTGCTTGGAAGTTATCTCCGTGACTCTGTATATCTATTGTATCTAAATATAAATGATATAAATTATAATTGTAGAATCCCCCTCCCACAAAATTAAGAACATCAGGTGGTATTTATATATAATAAACAGGTTTATTTTGCTCCAATATGTTAAAGGCTACGTTACTGAACAGTGCGCATTATATTACCTTTGACACATGTAGGCATTTAAAAGGACCCGTCGGGCTTAGTTTAGAATTTTTCTGTCCAGATGCACAAAAAAACAAGTTACCGGCTGGAACTTTCATCATTTCTCTGTGACCACGCATAGTCCTTGCACAGGATAAACACGTCATGACTTTCTCCTTGCCATTAGAGGACAAGAAAGCATATCCCTGTAAAACCAAATAAACATCTTTTCAGGTAAACGCAATTATCATCTCATCAAAACATAATTAAAATCATGGCATATTCTGAAGAACTTGACATATTGCTTATAATGCTTACCCGAATTTCAGATTTACAAATAAAATGCAAGGTTTTATTCAGTAAATGGACAATTGCAAATTTAAGGCCCATGAGATAAAACAGAACAATAACTGGGTTAAAGAAAATTTCCAATTTAGTTGTTTTAGCCTAAGTTTGCAATTCCCTGTTTTGTGAATAAAAAATACTAATAAAAAGAAAGCGCTAATATTTGCAGACAGTATTGTATCCGAGGAATACCAGAAAGTGATTTATTGTGGGACTGAATGGTCCATCGTTAAAGGGACAGTCCTGCATCCCTACTGTAGATCTGTTTTCCCTCTCTATTTAGGGGTTTGGAGTAAATGATTACATTGAAAGTACAGTTAAAATTCTGGAAACTTACTCTAAACTCGTTCTGAAACAGTTGACACTTCTGTGAATAAAACTTACAGTGAAAGATACTCCAAATGTGAATGAACAGAAGACTTTCATAAATATAGGAAATAACTTACCGGTTGACTTAATGCCGCCGCATTGGCTACTGTGAATGTGCATACTGAAGCTTGATTGGCTGCCGTGATCTCTTTGTCCAGCTGATCACTGTGAAAGGCGCCCAGTACCTTCATATCGGGAATATAACACCATTTCTGATTTGCTGCACCATTCACGTGCTCCATATATTTCTATAATAAAAAGAGAGATTTTTGGAAAGTGTTAGTTACTCACATATAAATGAAGCTACCTGAATAAACGGTCGCCAAATGCAGCGACTTCTGAAGTCTTGCCCATTCTATAACTAAAATCAGGAGATTATTACTTTGAATATTCAGTACGCGTGCTTCATGAATTTCAACAAATATTAAACTAGGTAGGGCTACAGAGCTTTAAAAAAAAAAAAAAACTGTAGAAGTTCTCTGTGTCTGATCTCTGCTAGTTCGAGGGCGGTTGTGTCTGGCCATACATTGTGTACGAGAGGATCCCGCATGTGGCCTATATACTCCATACTGGTTACCGCTTTTGAGTCATCCCTGGAAAGGCCCAGTTGAATGCACCGCAAGAGCATCCATCTCCGTATGGAAATAGCGACATTAATTTTACCTGGTGCTCACCCACTACGATTTATGTGACATGCCCGGCTGATGATTCTCTGCACACCATGAAGACCAGGTGACACACCACACATAATACACCAAATCATTAGCTATCCTAACCTACCTTTGCACTATTATGTGTTATGTAACATGAACCGATACTTTGCTATGGACAACCTATCAGAAGGAGCTTCAGTGGAACACGAAATGAGCTTCAGTAAAACACGGAGGCCGCCATCCAGTGGAACGCCCGCGGTGAATACAAGTCTTCGGATTCTGTTTCCAAGCCAGCTGGAGGAGAAGCTGAAACTCTGCATGGGATCCACTTACACATTGGGACTTCAAGATATCTACTGATATGCTCGATTTCCTGGCACTTCTGTAAGTGTTTTTAACCGTTTGTCCAGATTTATTAAAGTTTACAGAGAACACTATGTCTCTGTGTTTGTTTCTTTTAGGATGAAGATACCTGCTCTGACCTATTGTAGTGGTCTTGGGTTTATATTATATACCGAAGAAGAGTCTGTATCTTTACTGTTTAGTCTAGATACTATAGTAGTATTGAGTATTTATTGAGTTTTTCAAATATATATACATATAATGTAATAACAATAAACATATCGACAATATACATTGATAATGCATGAGTTTTAACAACAATGAGTCTGCAAATAATTTGAATTTCAACTTGTAGGCAAAAATAATAAATTGGTCAGTTACAATTTTTTGCCCCAGAATTTGAAATCCACTATGAATTGGTAAGTACACAATGTGTTGATGGTATAAAGGAATGACTGATGCTATCTAGATTGGTGTTCTTGAATATTGAATCATTTCTCCTCTCCTGCCCATTTGGGTATATGCAGATATTTTATTAAATAGTTGCAACGGTTAACTCCAATTCTGATCCAGACTGCTACATTATTATTATTATTATTGGTATTTATATAGCGCCAACTAATTCCGCAGACCTTTCTAATATCACACGCTGCCTGATGTGCTGGGGTTTTGTTTTGTTTTTTGTTTTTTTGCATTATTGTTAATTGCCATATTTAAGGACAAAGAAACATCCCAGGACACACATAACTCACCTGAAGGATAAGGTTGCATCCTGGAAATGCTTTTTCTGTGTGTTTTTGTCCAGGATAAACCTTTGGCATTGAGACGGCGAGGACCAGTTCTAAGCAGCTTGATAAATGAAATGTCCTAATCAACAACGAAGCAAATATTCCATTATTTATCTGTCTTAGTCTTCTACATGCAGCAAAAGCATTTAACATGTAAGAGGTGTCATGGTTTCAGGTTGCAAGATGTTAAATAATCACAAGACATGATTGTCAGCTCTTAGAAAAACTAGGGTTAATATAAATATATATCAGTACAGAATAATTTGCACATCAACTGGTACAGCTACGTATAGCGTCTGTACATTTTGTGTGCAGGGTCTTGTGTATGCCTCTCAAAATTAATAGGTTATTTTCAGGAAATGCATTACACCTATTTGTATAAATAATTTACTTAATTGGGCGTAAATGTATCTAACCGCAGAGACAAACAAGGTTATTTCACTACCGTTTTTTTTATTATTTTTTTTAATCTCTTTTCTTCTGGAAACAGCAGGATACAAAATTTGTCGTTTTTTTTGTATCAGCAAGATAAACATAGATGACATTAGCTGCGCCAGAGAGCGTATAATAGCTGCAATGTATTGGAAGACAATAACAAATATTTTGTTTCTAACATGGTTTTATACAGATGGAAGAAATTATATTCATTTAATATAATAAGTGGAGACCAAAATACTACTACTACTAATAAAAAAGAAAATTAAAAACAGATATAGTATTGCACTTAAACCCATTCTCAAAGACAAATAAAATCACAAGAACTTTGTTTTATTTTTTTTGCAAATTGGTATTCCTAAAATACAAAATTATTAATGGTTCTTGAGAACTGGTTTATATTATTGTACCAAGGAACAATATCAGTGCAAACAGTTTAACAAAGAACAGAGGGGTGGCAACAGGGGATTTCAGGCACTATAACCACATCATTGAAATGAAGTGATTATAGTGCTTAGGGTATCCCTCTAATTAGGAAACAGTTACATTTAGATTTTAGACAAATATACACATTCCCCTTTCAAAAGTTCCCTTGGCCCTTTGTAACTCCAAGATAGCCCATACATTAGTCAGGATGCCATCTGCTGTAAAAAATGACCAGGAGACTACAAGAAATGTCCTTGGATCATTAATATCCAGCAGTGTTGCATTGTCAGATCCAGCCATAACAACTGTGAGAGATCTTTAGAATACCCATCCCACCGGTAGAGATAGACCTCCTAAAAAGGGGGCAAGTGGGACCTCAGAAATGGAACCACATCCAAGGGTACCACTTCAAGGCCCAGAACCTCTATTCAATCCTTCACAGAAAAGAGAGGCTCAAGCGCAGCAAAGCTTCTCCTGCTGACCCTCTGGAAGGAAAAGCTTAATTTCCAGGGAGTCCAAAATCAATCCCAGAAATAGAACTTATGAAAAAGGTACCAGGGTGCTCTTTTGACCATCATGGAGAGTAAGACGTGGGTATGCCATACCACCAGGTTGTAACAGGCCACCTGTACATGGATGTAGTCCAGGTATGGAGCAACGATGATACTCAAGGTTGTGCTTGAACTATACAGATATCAAGAACCTTTATCAACACCCTAGGAGCTGTGGCAAGTTCAAAGGACAAGAAAGCAAACTTGTATTGCTTGTCCTGAAAAGTAAACCACAGGAAACGCTGATCATTTGGATTGGTCACAATATGAAGGTAGGCATACTTTAGAGCCATAGTTGCCATGAACTAAACATTTAGCACTAATAGCAAAACAGATCACATGGTCTCCATCTTGAAAGTGAGATTTTAAAGGAGCAGGTTAAGGGACTGGAGGTCTAGGATAGGCTGTAATGATCATGATCACAAACAATTTCAAGTAGAACACCAGACCCTGTTTGGGAACTGGAATGGGAGAAGTGACTATATTCCTTACTAAAGTGAGTGTATAGGACATGCACTATTCAAACTCCATGTTTTGGTACCTGTACTACAAAATAAAAGGCAATGTTTCGACATGTCTGTCTTTTTCAAGACACACATTGTGTCGATATGTTACCTATTATTTTGGATGGCTGAAAAAATCCACTCTACACTTCAACTACTGAGTGCAGCAGTTTTATTGCTTTGCATATGTTTCTGTCTAAGCCATGCAGTCCAGAAAGGCATGACCCTTGAAAGGATCAGAGAAAGGATAAGATAGCAGGAACATATCCGTAGGAAGGCAGTGCTTAAAGCCAGGCTGAAGAAACCACACACAAGATGCATGGGTCTGACATGGATTGGGTTCAGGTGTCCCTGAAGAATTGCAGATGCCTCTTAGCAACTCAGGCCGTGAATGTGGTCACATTAATGCAAACTTTGTAGGAGCAGCAAATGTATTGTTCTGTCTCGCTTTCTTCTAAGAGGAAAAACCTTGTTTCCAGAGGTGTAAGATGTTTCAGAGGACTCTGAGTAAGCAGAAGAATTAGAAGAGAACAAAGCACCAAAAGGAACTAAAGCAACATGAAGAAGACCCTGGAATGAAGCCTTCTTACCCTTTTGAATCAAGGCACTCTTACTGCCAGCAATAATGGACATGATGGTGTCCAGACCAGCACCAAAAAAAGACTTAAAGGGCAATGTCAAAAGCTGCGACCTGGGCCAAAGATAGGTGACTAGGACTTGAGTCATGAAGCCCATCTAGGAGCTACACTCAACGCTGGCAACTGGATGTTAAATAAACAACCGCAGCCAAGGAGTTGTATAGGAATTTGTTTGCCAGCTTTAGAAAGTGAACACCATCAAAGGCATCTGCAGAGAGCGATCATACTGATGGCAAGAAGGAAAAGCGCACCCAATACCTAAAAGGAGTATCTAAGGAACCCTTCAAATTATTAGTCCATGGGGTGCGCAAATGGCATACTGTCCTCCAAAGAAATAGTAGTCTTTTTGGGTATCTAGTTTAGGGACAGTGTACCTAATGGTCAGCATTCTATCAGTGAGAGAAAACATCTTAGCAAATGTAAAGAAACGAACAAAGGCAGTCCCTGTGTTGCCCTAATAGTTTTCACCAAGGCCATAACAGCCTTAGGGTATGAAAACGTTGGGGTGCCCCAAATGCAGTTGATCAAGCACATAGGAATCTCTGCATCACCTTAAGAGTGCGCACAGCATCTTCGAGAGGAGAAAACACACATGCTTGATCTTAAAGGAGTAAGTCACATACTTCTCTATAAGGATCCTGAAAGGCATGAGGAAACAGATTGAACTGGCATCAGACTTTGAAAAGTAGTCATGCCCAAAGCTAAGTAGGCAATATGCAGCATTCCCCTTGACAAATGAGAGTCAAATAAGGGCACTATGCACAATACTAGCATGCTTAGCAGGAATCAGCTGTAAGAATCTGGCACATGAGGCATAGTGTTAAACAAGCCAGCCATCACAGCTTAAACATAGGCCTAGAAAGTCAGGAAGGGTTGTCCCTGTGGCTAGAAGCAGCACCAAACTCCACAGAGGGATCAGACAAATTTACAAAGGAAACAACCAAAGGGCTTGACATAGAAGCACTAGACCCTGAAGGGAATTCAAGTGGTTAGTACACCTGCAAACAAAGAACAGATATTAACCCTCACAGCAAACAGGAGTAAAGGAGACTGGAGCCAGACAGTTTAAACTAGGATTCCATAGGTATGGATTTCTCCCCACCTTCCATTAGGGACAAAGGTGAACCTGCTAAATGCTTATTTGTACAGAGGATGTAGAGCTGGAGGAAACCAGGAGAAAACTCTTCATAGCTGGTTGGCGTCCACTGAAGAGAGAGCAGGAGCAGCAGTAATGAGTCTCACAAGCTTTACCACTCCCGGAAGGTTTAGAATGGCTCTCTGGGTCTGAATGAGCTTGGTTAAAGTTGGTTTTCTTTTAAAACCACTAAAATGAGCGGTGAACCACACTGTGTCCCTCCCATGAAGACCTCAGATTTGCATAACTGACACTACTGCAGGAACCTCTCTTAAAGAGGCTCCATCCTCATAAAACTGTTCAAAAAGAGACTGGGGAAAGTGGGGAACTACCTCCAGAGTCACTCCTTTACACTATAGGATGACATAGGGAGGACAGTATCTGGCACTTACCTGAGATGCACCCTGGTGCCTTCAAAAGAGAGGATATATCCCATATGGGTCTCAAGCTAGGCCATCGAGCAGAGAAAGCATTATAATCAAACTGAACTGGCCATAGATTGACCTGTATTCACAGTCTATAAAATGTGTCAGTGGGGTTTGATATGTGTCAGATTTCAACTTAGGAGGATGTTCTCTTCGTTTTCTTGTTTTTAGACACAGTGCTTGGCGTTTGTTTTTTTTGTTGAGAAAGCATCAGTGCAGATTAAAAAAATTCCAGTCGCCTTTTTTCTTCTTCCATTTCCTCTTATGGACTGATTATGTTGTATATCATTTAGTCCACACATATTTTGCCCTTTTCTTGCCTTGCTTTTTATATGTTTTGCAATAAACCATAACTTTTCAATACATTTCTATGTGGACTATAGTGCCAGCTGAGCGCGATTAGTAAGTTTGCTATTTTACATATGACATGTACCTGCTTTCCTCCAAGTATTTCCAGTGCTGATTCATATCATCTAGTCTCCGATCAATCAATTGCACATGAACTCCTGCATGTACCTCAGAGTCATCCACTCCTAAAACCAGGCCAGGAAAAGCAGAGTTAATGATCTGTCCGTCAAGGAACTCAAACTGCTGGCGATGGATCTGTGGCACTTTAATGACTTTTCGACTGGACCTAAGCATAATAAAATAGGAAAGCATTACAATTTGTTTAATTAAAAATAATATATGTGTCTGATTTTAAATTGAAGTGGCATGTTTATTTTTTAACATTATTTCTAAAATAATCTTTAAAAAAACAGATTCAATAGAGATTCACATAAAATATGGTATCCTGCAAAGTTATCGCAAATACGCTATTTGCTAACTGGTGTAACTTTCCCCCAATGCCAAATAGTAAAAGTTTCCTCCTTGAGAAATTTCTCTATTATAAACGATAGTAACCACAACACAATCTGCTGTTAGCTAAATGGCTTTGCTGTTTCACTTTGTGTAAATTCTACCCCTGGTGAGTCCAAGTGCATTGTCTGACTATACGAGTAACACCTGTACAATTACACCTTCTAGTATTGCAGCAGAAAGCGGTGCAATGTGCTGCTCTCCTCTGTGGCATTTAAAGGGTAGAAAATCGATTTAAACTAATACATGTTAAGGTCTGTCAGATCTACCATGTGATAAGAAAAAGATGATTGAGGTCCATTGGACTCCATTATTAATCAGAGGAGGTCCATTGTACAGCTTCTCCTCCTCCATCCCTTATGTGGACCACTGGAGGGGAGACACACCAGGTCTGGTTATAAGTGGCTCCTAGCCTTTCATCCATGCTGTGGGTTGTGGGGGCAGGGTAATCCTCTGGTGGAGAACATTCTCAGATCATATTAGGTTGAGGTCCAGAGGACTGAATAACAGTCAGAGAGGATTGGGCGGGCAGGGTATGTACCAATTGCCAGGCCACGAAATGCCAAGTAGGGGCCAGAAATGGATAAAGATAGGAGGTCATATACCAGTCCCCCCTCCAATGAATTCCACCTTTATTTTATTGTTAATAAAAATCTTTATTAGCTTCAATAATTGCAGGAATACAAGTTATGTTTTATGTCCGGTTTAAAATGGAGTTGTCTGATAAAGTCTCTTCGATTGAACTGATAACCACATAGGCTTTACTGACCGATAAAGATTTTGTAGATCATTCACAGGATCCTGAGATGTGAAAATGTTCTGTTCTTCTGGATCATGCATTGTGTGCTGCCATGCATATCTGATGTCTGAGTACATGGCATCTACTTTTCTATGAGCTCGGGCATGTGAGTCTCTGTAGAAAAACAAAGACCATTTTATAATTACAATATTACATTCAGTTCAGGTTACTTTATATAACTTTATTGGACATTAAGGCACACACGGTTTAAAGGAACATTAGAAACGTCTAAAAACACGTTATATACCTTTATTCCAGCGCTGCGCAGGTCCGACTACGCTACGCCTCCCTTGGCTGAGATCATCAAACCTGATGATCTAAGCAAATTCAATGCTTTCCCATACAAAAGCATTGGAGGCTTTCAGGCATGTGTGGCAAAATGCTGCCAAGCACTAATCAGCATCTCCTCATAGAGATACATGGAGTTAATGCATCTCTATGAGGAATGTTCAGCACCTCCATGCAGGGGTTGGAGATGCTGGATGTCAGTGCTGCACTGACACAAGAAGCACCTCTAGTAGCCGTCTGAGTGAAGGCTACTAGAGGTGTTACTAGGCAGTAATGTAAACACTGCCTTTTCTCTGATAAGGCAGTGTTTACATTAAAAAGCCTGCAGGGACAGGCAGTAGACACCATAACAACTACATTAAGCTGTAGTTTTTCTGGTGACGATATTATCCCTTTAAGGAGTTCATATAGATGGAAGTTGCTACCATGAATATATAAAAGTGAGTATCTATATAAAATAATAGAAATGGGGGTTAGTTTGGGGATTTGGTTAAAAACTAAATGTTGTGAAGATATACATTATGTCCTTTGATTCAAACTTCGGAGTAATTAGACTTCATGAGACATATGAAACATGAGACATGAAAACTTCACTTGCCAAGGTCCACCATGGGGTTTGAAGAACTCTTCTTTAACTCGATAACTGCTCCTTTACCTTAACAGACTACCCTGCCAGAACAAAGAGATGTATAGAGAGACGGAGACACGATTTGTAAGGAGAATAGGAGAGATCGAAAGAGGATTGGTAGGAACAAGAGGGAAGGGGCAATTTGTGAGAAGAGTATGAGGGGAAAGGACATGATTTGTATAGAGTGAGGAATAATGATTTGATTTCTAGGAAGAAACAAATGATGGCTGCAGAGGGAGTGATCTTGCCTGGGTGTGGGCATTAGGAGAAATTAAACTGAGATCAATGATAGGATGTTAGCACTGATCCTGAATAAATGACGTACAGCTACAGAACGAGTATTGCATAAAATATCACTAACAGACCCAGAGTGGTATTATAATACAGTGCTACGTTATGAATAAGCAGTATGCTGGCATTTTTGGGAAAGCAAATTCCTAACAGGACAACCATCTAAACAAATTGCCACCTGTCAATCATTGTCTGCTTTACAATGGCTCCAATTGGACCTTTTTACAGCTTTAGGAAGCCAGCTGATTGGTTGGCAATAGCAGTAGTTGCAGGGGCCAGAGAGGCATGAAGGGCCCTCACAATGTATACTCTCATTGTCCTGGGAATGAATGCAGCCTAGCTTCGATACTTTACCACAGCAGACTCCAAAAACACATCCCACTTATAACACATGGGCTTTCGGTGAAGGTTGCCACGCTTGAGCACTAATTTATGTGTTGCCAGGTATCTATTTCTGATTTTGTACCAAGACATGAATTGTTCCAGCCAGCCTTGTTGAGCTGTTATAATGTCATGGTGCATGTACAAGGAACACAAGGTACTACAAAACTATCTGCAAGTAGCTTAAAACATGTTTATACTCACAGAAACTCATCAATGTCTTGTATAACGTCAGATTCACTTTCTTCATTTGTTTCCGCAGTTTCGTCTTCACTGGGTACCGATACAGCATTATTAATGGTCAGGTTAGCTCCTGCAACAATGTCCCCACACACCTCTAGAACGAGATCTACAAAGATACAGAGAGGAATTCAAAGAAACTAGTGGCAGAATTCACAATGCCTGTGGGAACTACACATACTGGCAGTATGTCAAAGCTCAGCCAAATGGCAGAAGAAGACCTCTCCTAAAAGCTTGAAGGAACACTCAGAGAGCCATAACCATTACAGCAGATTGTAGTGGTTATGGTGCAAGGGTCGCTTGGGTATTCTCCCAGAGAAATGTTTCAAACCATTTAAGAATAGTTTAACGATGTACCTGGGTCCCCTGGGGTCAGGCCTTAATGTGGCTCTGTCAGCTCAAACTGACCTTTCTCCCATTGTTTCCTCATTTCTTACTCTTTCTGAATCTGTTTGTCTTTTCTTCATTTATCATCTACATTTCTCTTTAAAACATAAGACAAAGTAGGGACTACATTGTGTGATGAGTTTTTGCTACACTTGGAAATCTTCACAAAGGACGAGTCTTAAGGCAAGCTTCACCCTTTGCTAGCATGACACAGGAAGTGGTGCTTGCCTTAAGCTCTACCTTTTGTCACAATTGTCAAACGTAGCAAAAATACACAAGACAAATTAGTTCCTACTTTATCTTATGTTTTAAAGAGAAATAGATCAGAAATGAAAAGAAGAAGAACATATTCTGAAAGAAAAAGAGAAGAGGAAACAATAGGAGAAAGGTAAGTTTGAGTTAACAGAACCACGTTAACAGCCGAAATAACCGGATGTCTCCCATGAGCAAAGCACGGTTTGATCCAGCACTGCACTCACATTGGCTGAGAACACTGCAGCAGAATCCGTTAGCAGGCAGCGTGTCTACAGGTGTCCCGGGACATGTAAATATTGTTCTTAAATATACAAAAAAATGAAGGGAAAAACAGCCCCGTGACAAATCAGGCTGTTCTCCTTCAAACCACCCAAAACAAATCAACGTCTAAGGAAAATAAATAAATTTTATTAAGAATAAAATCAGACAACCTAAGGACTCGTGTATAAGACAGTAAGCTACAAGGTTATAATGGAAACAGCATGTATCAGTCACTGTTATATGTAGCAGAATAAACTCAGACAGGATTAAAGCTACACATGATACTTAGATACATATTGAACCTAACAAAAGGGATAACCTTGTATATAGATGGTAAAACAAATGGGGAGGACCATATAAGTAAAGGGAAGGTTCAGGTAAACTCCAGAGCTGAAAAAATCAGTCTCATAATAACCCCATATTATAATGAATGGTCACCCCAACGTGTTTAAACACTCACTATACTGTTATTAGGAGTTCACTAAAGGTAGAGGTATATTCAAACAAAAATGAATAAAATTAAATCACATAACCTAAGGACTCATAAAGATAACACAGTACTATCTATAAACTGCAAGGTCCTAATAAGATGAAAAGTAATCGGAACACTATTCCATATAGTAGTCTAAACTCAAGAAGAGTTAGTGCTAAGTAGATAGACCCTGCAGAAAGACAGAAAGTGCAAATTAGTAGACTTGCATTGGAAATCGAAAGGATAGGGAAGATATTATAAATGAAGAGAGAAAAAATAGAGATGGATATAAATATAAATATAAAGTTGGTCTAAAAAAGACAGATAGAACTTGATAGATCCATCTTGCAATGTCTCCCTATCAAATAATCATCCCAGCGTATAGACCCGATCGACCCCAAAGTCACTAAAACATTAATCTAGAAGAGTAACACTAAAGGTATAACAATGTCGGAGAAACAAGCCCGACGCGCGTTTCGGCGGGTAAACCGCCTTTCTCAAGAGCAAGGTACAGTGTTTTCTCTCTTCATTTATAATATCTTCCCTATCCTTTCGATTTCCAATGCAAGTCTACTAATTTGCACTTTCTGTCTTTCTGCAGGGTCTATCTACTTAGCACTAACTCTTCTTGAGTTTAGACTACTATATGGAATAGTGTTCCGATTACTTTTCATCTTATTAGGACCTTGCAGTTTATAGATAGTACTGTGTTATCTTTATGAGTCCTTAGGTTATGTGATTTAATTTTATTCATTTTTGTTTGAATATACCTCTACCTTTAGTGAACTCCTAATAACAGTATAGTGAGTGTTTAAACACGTTGGGGTGACCATTCATTATAATATGGGGTTATTATGAGACTGATTTTTTCAGCTCTGGAGTTTACCTGAACCTTCCCTTTACTTATATGGTCCTCCCCATTTGTTTTACCATCTATATACAAGGTTATCCCTTTTGTTAGGTTCAATATGTATCTAAGTATCATGTGTAGCTTTAATCCTGTCTGAGTTTATTCTGCTACATATAACAGTGACTGATACATGCTGTTTCCATTATAACCTTGTAGCTTACTGTCTTATACACGAGTCCTTAGGTTGTCTGATTTTATTCTTAATAAAATTTATTTATTTTCCTTAGACGTTGATTTGTTTTGGGTGGTTTGAAGGAGAACAGCCTGATTTGTCACGGGGCTGTTTTTCCCTTCATTTTTTTGTATATTTCGTGCTTTATGCAGGGTTATGCCCGTATTACCACCCTTATAACCCGTTTCTCTCTGTACTCCCTATTTGGATTTTCTATCTAGGGAATACCTCTATTTATTGTTCTTAAATAGTTTGACAACTTACTATGGGAAGGCACCAAGATCACTACAGCGTGCTGTAGTGGTTATAGTGCTTGGAGTGTTCTGCAACACACAGAAGAAATACCCATAAACAACTACAGAGGAAAGCATATTATATATATTATAGTAAAGTGTAGTAATCCAGCATAGTATCTGCTGATAAACAGCCGTCCAGGTCAAATTCTTTATGCATCTTGGATAGGGCTAATTCACAAACAAGATTAATGTTAAAATATAAACATCAAACAGAGAAGAGACAGTTAAATGTTAACCGATTTGATCAGGACCCTCGCTGCCTCTTGTTTTGTAATTTGTTTGTTACAATTTACTTGTTTGGTCTTTTAACCCATTGTACAGCACACCAGAACATGTCTGCCCTCTATAAAATGTTTAAAATAATATAAAGATGCAGCTAAAAAACACAAATATTCATTTCCTCCTCACAAAACTCATTTCAAACTATTAGCATATAACACTAGTTATACTTACTCTCTGGGTTCCGTAAGCAGCAGTAATTCCGAATTAAAGATGCATCTGATGTAAGGTTGCTAAGCAGAAGTTGTTTTTTGCACTCAGCCGCAGACAGCCTCGGGTCCATCCACTGATCTCCGCATGAGACATATACCTGTCATAAACCTCACAAATCAGTGTTCTTTAAATTCTCATGGAAAGGAAAGGAAATATTAGATTCACAGCTTGGTAAATTATGAACAAAACAAGACTAAGTAGTACGTGTGCATCTCTCCAGATGAATTTGGGATTAATGCTGACTTTTCAGGTAGAAGAAATATGAGAGAAACAGATTATATTACTGCAATAAAAACGCACCTTTTGTACTTGGATGGTTACGCTGTTCGATGAATTCGCCCCCTGGAGGATAGTCCCCCATTATATTATTTATATTGAAGTGTAACTAACTTCCTTATTTAACAGAGGCATAAAATCCATTAAAACAGCAAGGGCACACTGATCTTGTGTCAAGTAGCAGAAAAGCTTAAAAATTAAACCCCATTCTCCTTGATCCTTACCATCTGATCTCTTTCAACATCTCTCAAATGTAAAATCTCAGTGCCGTTTTCATTAAATAGTCTGCGGGCTGCAGAAGGTAAATTCAATATCAATGTACACCTGAATTTAAATGTAAAAATATGTACAAATGAATGAACAGAAAGTTTTGTCGGGTTAATGAGTAAGTGCTTACACACTTGGATAATCACTGCAAAACATAGGTTTGGTTTCAATAAAATAAATGTTATGACCACAATTGTAATGTTGTGATAAGTGTGATATGTTTGTCTACTTTAATTGGATTTGTAGTTTACGCACGAAGTCAAGCTTACGTGTACATCCTTAGAATGGTTATGTTTGCCTTGCAAAGTGTACTACTCTGAAATCGTATTAAATGAATTTCTGCAATAGTCTGGTATATACTTGTATGTGCATCAACAAAATCTGATTAAAGGATATTTTTTTTTCCGGCCTATATATTACATATGACTACTGAATACAAAAAACGTTTTCTATTTGTATATCGTATCTTCCAGGGAGAATGAAGTGATTAACGTGTTTGTCATGACATTTGTGTACATGAATAACATCGGGTTTAAGTAGGGTAGAAGACGTGTATGTGCATATATTTGTCCACTGATGAACTCTACGCCTACTTTCAGAGTAAAAGGAGACTATTGATATGCAGCCATAGTGATCTCACAGGTTGAACGACAGACCTGTACCAAAAACTGCCCTGATCTCTCTCACTGCTGACATTTGTCGTTTCAAATATTTTAGTCCGAGGATCAGGGACATGATGACAGTATTCACACCTCTATTTCTTGTACAGCTGACTATAGAATGTGCAAAACAAAACCTCTGTGCCACAATTGTACTCATTGTAAAACATTTTACTTATCATTGCATGCCAATAATGAGGGTTTTGTTACATAATAGGAAAATGTGTATCTAGAATTTTCCTTTACACCAATGAAAATCAGAAGCAAATGCAAAATATAGCTGAATGATGTGTTCACTAAACTGTATAAACTCCAAGGTCAACCCATTGTTTTGGGAGAGGAATGTCTCAACAGAATTTCACTGCCTAACTGGACAAAATATTATAGCGAGCAAATCTAGGTGTAGACTACTTCTATTATTTAGTTTGAGGCTGCTGCATTGTAGATTATTTCTTAAAGAAAAGTGATTTGTAAAAAACATAAAAATTGTTATCTCCCTATATATTTATGCTCACATGCAACTATTTTATCTACATCTAGCTACAACAGGTAGGGACATTAATGGGTACCTGCTGTGCTCCCAAGTATGCTACATTCTTTCTGGTGTAGCACGAACACAATGATTCTATAAACAATGAAAATTATACACAATTTGTCAAAGGCTAGCTGAGATATACAGTATTAGCAATGTTTTCTCCATATGAACTAGGGGTATGCTGGGTGTTCAATAACTCTCTAACCTGTATAACTGAAAATGACACAACAATAAAGCTAACTTTGCTCACAAAACTCCTATTAATGCAGACATACCTAGGTATGCAAAATTCTGAGAGAACTTTCAGAGGTAAAAGTCAAAATACCAGTCACAAGACAATTCGAGGTAATTTAAGACAATTATACAGCTTATCGGTAAATTAATACAAATCTATTTGTATATATATTATTTTACACTCACTGACCCCTGATCATTGATCAAGCTGCTGGCACATGCTGTAATGATCAGATGTTAGTAAAGGAGAAGTTCGGTTTCTCTGTATGAATTCATTATACAGACATATCTCATATAGTTAGCAATGAGTGACAACAAGCAACTGGGGAAGTTTGTTTCAATTTACTAGAGCACAGAGGAGCAAGCTCAGGATAAAATATGCACATCTCTATAAGTATACACCATTTTATCTCTAGACTTCATGCAGTCTTTAATCTATTTTCTATATGTCTATACGTCAATTCCGGGTTTGCCAGTAGACAGATGGGTAGCTGCCTACAGGTACATCTCTGCCAGGGACACCTACATTAGAACTGCAAAAGTAATTTTTTTCTCCATATTTAAATTTTGATCGGACCACTCCTTAGTGTCAATTACAATGGCAATTCTCACCCTGCACTTTCACACAGAATTCAATCCTTACCCATAGTCCTCACACCCTGCATTGTGCACAAAGCATTCTTGCCAGAGCAGAACGTGGAACCTTCCCTACGCGAAGAATTAAAGGGTGTAAACTGGTAACCAGCCTAGGGTCCGTGGGGTCTTAATCCTTCTCTGATTTTAGCCCTGCCATCTCACGTCAGACCCCACTGACAGCACACATTACACATGGTCTTAACACACAACATTTACATACTACCATCATCATTCACATTTTGCCAACAACGTTTTACTGTTTTTGGGGTGTAGGGGCTGGTTAGTTTGACTGCTGAAAATGTGATCTATGGCTGCGTTTGTGAAATGATATCTTGTTAGTATTGAACACAATGAAATGACACCTGGAAACTACAAGATGCAACGCTGGCCTTAATGTTTTCCCAAATATTTACCCCGACTTATATTTCTGAATCCTAACTTGCAATTCTGTTTCTTATGCTATATAATACCCTAGAAAGTGGCATGTAATTAAATTATCCGTTATTAGTATTCCTGCAATCCTATACTGGGCCTTCAGACTGCTTGCATCACAAATACAGGCAAAAAACTGTCCGAATGTACCCCATGCTCATTCTCCCACATCAATAGGATAAATATTTACCTCTCTAAGAATTGCTGAAATTCCATTTGGTCTACCTTTACAAAATTGTCTTCAGGATTGTCTGAATTTCCCTGAGGTTTCCTTGGTTTCTTAGTAGATGGACCAACAGCACTACATATAAATAGAAGAAAGCAAAGAGGAAAAGCCGTAAAATTAATATAAAAACAAGTTATACAAACGTTCTTCACTTTAGCTAAACTGGGAATTATAAGGAATTGGTCAGGAAATTTCACTTGTTGGGCCAAATTGATCAGTTTGAAAAACTCTCCAACTCGCTTTACCGCTAAACATGACATTCCGAGGTACCTTTCGCGCAATGCTTGTTTGTAAGTATGTTTTCAATTAAAATAAGTCTTGTTTGTTTTTGGTGGTGATTCCAGTTTTAGTCAGGTGACTAAAATCTTATGGGAGCGATTACATTTCCCTTGGATATGTTCTCCTGTTTAACATGTGACAGTGTTGGATTTTATTCATAGATTGTGGATTAATGCCTCACACTAATCAAAGTTCCATCTCTGCAATTTCTAACAGTGACTTACTGTTTCTTTAGCATGTTGGACATATTTGGTCCCACGATAACACATGCTCTGTTTTTATCCCAGTCCCCATTTTTTAACACCTTTAGTCGGACAGGAGTGTACGAGTCTGTGTGGTCCGTGCATGGCTTCTCCAGTGGAGGGCTGTTTGAAATTAACGAACCCTGAATAGGCCAATTAAAGTCCTTGAAACAACAAAAACACAGAAAAATGTTAATCAAGTCTTTCTTCTGTCTTCATACATCAATAAATAAAAGCAATCAAAAGACTTAGCTGCCCTCTGCAGCATAGTCCGTCCTTTAACGCACAGCTCTCCTTTTCGTATAATCTCATCCTCATTGCTGGTACTCTGGGTAAGTACTCAGCTCAGCCTATAAATGATCAATGCAGGCTCCGGCCTACATTCTATCACTGTCCTCTAGATATTAGGACTCACACTGACCCCACATTGGATGAGCTATGCTGTGTTACATCCAATCAGGAAGAATTGTGAAATAAAGAGATGTGGCTGAGGGTGCCAGGATTTGCTGCTCAGGATAGAAAACCTTTTTTTTTCTATGGTAAAAATTAAAGGAGAACGTCACCTTAAAACCATTTGTAAATATAATGCCCCTCCATCAAGTTTTAAAATCTAAGTTAAGTCAATGCTTTCCTTTAGGATATTGCACATGCGCAGCAAAATGCCGGACCACGCTGCACCAATCAGCATCACCTCATATGGATGCATTGAATCAATGTAAGTCTATGGAGAACAACTAGCACCTCTATGCAGAGATGCTTAACATAGATGCTGCACACAGTCCAGCACTGGACCAGAGATCACCACTGGTGGCCGACTGAGTGGCTGCTACTAGACGTGTTACTAGGCAGCAATGTAAACACACTGATACATACACAGACTGTGTCAGTTTGTATCTGAATATGTGCATGTCAGTGTTTTTATATGTGTGTATCCGTGTTAATGTGTAAGTATGTATGTAGGTGGCAGTATATGTGCATACATCCCAGTAATCAAACACCAACACAGAATGCAATTAAACACAAGTATTACACATAAACACACACCTAAATTCAAACTCCAAAATGATATACACACACATTCATTCAAACACTAATACCACACAAATGTACACCTGCATATAGACAACACTAGATACAAACATACCTCTGCAATCAAAACACAAACATTACATACAAACACCCCTTCATTCAAACACCAACACTACACACAAATGTACACCCGCAAATACAAGACAACACTACATACAAACACACCCCTGCAATCAAAACAAAACTCTGCAATTA